CCCTACACCCATTTCGGCACACCCCTCACACGTTTCGTGGCCCCATAGGGAGCTCCACCGAAGGCCCCAGTGCTGCCGCCCGCATGCGTCCCCTACACCCATTTCGGCACACCCTTCGCACGCTTCGTGGCCCCATAGGGAGCTCCACCGAAGGCCCCAGGGCTGCCGCCCGCATGCGTCCCCTACACCCATTTCGGCACACCCCTCACGCGTTTTGTGGCCCCATAGGGAGCTCCACCGAAGGCCCCAGTGCTGCCGCCCACATGCGTCCCCTACACCCATTTCGGCACACCCCCTCACACGTTTCGTGGCCCCATAAGGTGTGCCGCCGAAGAAGATACTCACAATGGCGGGACCCACGACTGCATATGGTTGGGTCCTTCGCCAGGCTAATTTTCTATTGGGACGGCGGGGATGCGGGCATATTGCCTGCTATGCGCAGGCGCACTGGACGCCATGATGGCCACCCCGCCGCGACTGCGCACTGGTTTTCGATAAGGGTAATGGGGGCCGACACGTTTCCCGCTGTGTACTGCCACGTGCGAGGGCGTACCTGGCACACTCCGCGCGTGCCCCGAACGTGACGCACCTGGCGCACCAGACGTGCCCGGCACGCTTGGGCCACAGGGGTGCCTGGCGCACCTGGCTCGCGTGGCGCGCCTGGCACGCCTGGCGCTCCTTGCCCCAGCGTTGCGCACATGGAACCTGTTTTGGCTTCAATTAGCCGTCCATCCAACGACTACCACTAAACACGCTGCGGCTTGGGTGCTACTAATGGGTTGGGAGGGCGGATGGGGGTGAGCGAGAAGGCTTGCGGGCGGGGAGGGTCTTCACTCCTCCCCCGACCTCCTCCCTCTGGACGGGCGCCCCGCGACCAATTGAAGCGTCCAACATGGGCCAAGATAGCTCCAAGAGGGCCTGAGAGAGCCCAAGATGGCTCCAAGCTGGCTCAAGCTAGCTTCCAAGATGCTCCAAGACCACCTCAGGACGCCTGCAAGCGGCCTTTTAGCTCGAGGCCTCAAGTTGGCTCCAAGATGGCCCAAGAGGGCACCAAGAGCGTTCCAAAAGCGCTCCAAAAGGGCACCAAAAGGCAAAAATAGAGGCTCTAGAGGAGCTCCGGAAATTAAGGACCCCCCCTTCTTTGATCGATGTCCTACAGGATGGCCTCCAGGGCTCCCAAGAGTGCCACAAGAGGCTTTCTGGGCACGTCTTGGGGCCGTCTGAAGCCGTCTTGGGCCCTCCTGAGTCGCTCCAAGCGCCGAGGGCTAAATCCCACCAGCCCTCTGGGCGTAGGTGGTTCCGGGAGTTTCCTCTTCCATCTTCTCTTCTTCCCCTTCGGGGAGGGGTTTACCCCTCCCCCTAACCCCCTCCCCTGGACCTGGACGGGGGGTTTCGCTGGTAGTTGGAGCGTCCAAAACGGCCTCGGCGAGGAAGCCAAGATCATCGGTTTTACTACGGTTTTGGCCGATTTTAGAGGCTCCCGGGGGGGGACGCTAATTGGGGGACCCCCTTACTTTGATGGATCACCTCCAAGATGGCCCCAAGAGCGCTCCCAAGGCTCCCAAGAGCGCCCCAAGAGGGCCTCAAGAGGCGCCCAGGAGGCCCCAAGAGGTCCCCAAGAGGCCTTGAAGAGGCTCCCTAGACCCCCAAGAGGCCTCAAGAGGATCCCCGAGGCATCCAAGAATCCCCCAGGCGCTCCGAGAGGACTCCAAACCAACTTCCAAGGGACATCCTAGGAGGCTCTTGTGCACGTCATTGTTTTTGTTCCTTCTCATCTTTCTCATCCTCCTCCTCCTCCTCCTCCTTGTCGGCCTACTCCTCCTCCTTCTCCTCCACTTTATCAGCCTCATCCTCCTCCTCCTCCTTTCCTCTTCTCTTCCTCCCCCTCCTCATCCTCCTCCTCCTCCTCCCCCTCCTCCTCATCCGCCTATTCCCCCTCCTCCCTCCTCCCTCCTACCACTTTTCCCACCTGCTGCCCCTCCTCCCCCTCCTCCTCCTCCTCCTCCTCCTCATCCTCCTCCGACTCCTCCTCCTCCATCCTCGCCCTCTTGGGTAAGACGGGTCCCCCAGCCCTTTGCTACTCTGTATGCTCCCTCACTTCCCTGATCACCGCAATTCGCCTGGGCATCGTTTTTGGATGGGCTGGTGGAGATACGCGAAGCGTCAAGAATTCATATGCGGTGAGGGGTCCAGGGGGGGTCCGATTTAAGAACGTAAGAAGAGGAGTAAAGGAGAGAGCGAGAGAGAGAAGAAGAGAGAGAGAGAGAGAGAGAGAGAAAAAAAAAAAAGAGACAAAGAAACATAAAAAATACAGAGAAGGGTGGCCAGCGCCGACACATGAATTCCGCGCGGAGCTACGATAGTTTCTGCTTGTGCCATTCTCTCTTCTCCGAGTCATCCACGACGAAGCCACGACGAGGACAGATTCGGGCGAGGATACAACGAGAATCTCTGAAGTCCGGCGGCTCTCGAGGATGTCTTGGGCGTCGCGGCCTTCTCAAAGCGTTCCAGAACGCTCTGTGAGCGCTCCAGGGCGCTCTGGAACGGATCTTCCCTTGTCCTACAGGCAGGCCTAGGCCAGGCGAACATCCCTTACGAACACAAGACCCTCCGTCGGACAAACACACACAGCACATCCAAGGATACCCTCCCCAGGATACACAAGAACACCCAGCAAACACGAATAAAACAAGAAACAACTACATAACTATAAACTTTTGGCGCTCCGCGCGGCATTCTTGGATCTGCGTTGGACCCCGCTCACTGGCGTGCGGAGCGCGTCAGGGGCGGCGCCGGAGGCGCCGCCGGGGGGCCTAGGCGCCCATCCAAGAAATCCGCGTGGAGCGCTAACAATTTATGTTTATGCCGTTTATCGAACGAAGAACATTGAGGTACCCGCCCCGGACCGACCTCGATCGTATACTGTGGAGGCCAGTCCACAAGAAACCTTCCACAAGAAACCCAACCCCGAGACCCCAGGATGTCTATCGATCTTCGGTGTGGGACGTAACGCCTTCCACAGGACCCCAGAAACTCAATAAACCCAGGGCAACCTGGAAGCACGCAGGGTGCTTCTTGGCATGGGCCACGATCGTATACCCGGGTCCGGCTGTTCTGGAGGTCGGAAAGGGGTATGGCAGAAAGTGGGGTGGTGCCAATCGTGGAGATCGAGATGCTGTCTGCGACAGATGGCATCGCCATGCTCAACATTGGCACCATACTCCTTCACGCCTCACCCCTTTCCTGCCCCCAGAACTGGAGCCCCGTCCGAATCGCTGGGGTTAGGGGTTCAAGGTTTCGGATTGCTTTGCTTGGCGGCCACTATCTGGCCCCCAAGGCGGCCCCGGGCGGCGCGCGCGGGGGGCGGCGATCGGCCAGCTGCGCCAGCGTTGAAGAATGGTACTCCTTGGCGAGCCGCTTCACCTCAGCGGCCCCGCGGGGGGCGGAGGCGGCGGGGCGACGTGCCATCGATCGGACGACCACACGGCGGCGGCGAGCGAGAGGGGAAAAAGAGGAGGAGGCGTTCTCAGAAAGCTCGGGAAGTTCCTGGGTTTTCCGAGAAATTGTCGGAGCCTTCCACCAAAGACAACTCGCCAAACGAAAGAATGAACCGCATGCTGCTGCGAGTACCGCTAGGGAGAGGAGACGAAGGAGGGGGGGCAGCAAACAAAAACTGCGGCGTGCACCAGGGTGGGAAAGCTGATGCTGGCGAGCGGGGGGTCTTCTTGGTTTCGCCCGAACCCCGTGCACGCTCCCGCTGGGGCCTTCGGTGGAGCTGCGTATGGGGCCACGGACCGTGTGAGGGGTGCGCCGACATGGGGCGGCGGTGCCATGCGGACGCCCCCACTGGGGTTTTCGGTGGAGCTCCCTATGGGGACCACAACACGTGTGAGGGGAATGCCGAAATTGGGCGGCGATGCCATGCGGACGCTCCCGCTGGGGCATTCGGCGGGACTCCCTATGTGGCCATGAACCGTTTGAGGGGCGTGCCACAATGGGGCGGCGGTGCCAGCGGACGCTCCCGCTGGGGCCTTCGGTGGAAGGCCCTGCACGGGGCTACGAACACTGCGAGGGGCGTGCCAAAATCGGGCGGCGGTGCCATTCGGACGCCCCCGATGGACCCTTCGGTGGAGCTCCTTATGAGGCCACGACCCGTGTACTGGGTGTGCCAAAGTGGAGCGGCGGTGCCATGCGGCCGCTCTGGGGCCTTCGGTGGAGTTTCCTGTGGGGCCACGAGCCGGTGGAACTGCCTATGGGGCCACGAACCGTGTGAGGGATGTGCCAAACTGATGCGGCGGTGCCATGCGGACGCTCCTGTTGAAGCCTTCGGTGGAGCTCCCTATGGGGCCACGAACCGTGTGAAGGATGTGCCAGCACGGGGCGGCGGTGACGCACGCAAACGCTGCCAAATGGAACTCCTTGTGGTGCCACGGACCGTGTGAGGGGCGCGGCGCTGACGATGGCGATGGTGATGAACATGATGATGTGAATCCTGACAATGGCGACGATGATGATCGTATTCTCTCTCTGTCTCTGTCTCTGTCTCTGTCTTTGTCTCTCTGTCTCTCTGTCTCTCTGTCTCTCTCTCTCTCTCTCTCTCCCTCTCTCACTCTCTCTCTCTCTCTCTCTCTCTCTCTCTACCCCAGTGGATGTCTCTGGCATGTGCTTGCTTCGCATATGTGAATCGTGCACACCTGGACATCGGGCAGTGGGTGGCGAAAACTGCACGCGTCTCCCCAGAAAACAGTTTCCTCCTGATAGCCACGGCGCACCATCGGAACGACGCAAAAACGTCAAAACACATAGCGAGAAGAAACCGGCTTTGCACCGACCCCATCGATGCTGCACTCCTACTAGACCGACGAGGCCCTAGAAGTGATACGCATCCAGGGCACTCAGGGCTGATCCCCGAGCTGCCCTCAACGCCGAGTTTGCCAGAGCACCCTCCTGCTGCTACATGCTGCGCCTCCCCCATTGACCTTCTACCCCCCCCAGTTCGATCAGATCCTGCACGGCATTCCTGATGTTAGGCCCCGCGGGGGCGTTCCTGGTTTGCTGATCGTGCGCGGCTTTGTCAGGATGGCCTCCATCAGCTCGAAGCAGATCGGGCGCACTTCGGGGAGGGTGAACAGCTCGATCCGATACATGTCTGTCTTCCACCCGTTCTGTTTGAAAGCTTTCTTCTGCTGGCGGACCACCACGCCTGCCTCCAACTGCGCCACGGACTGCACGTTCGATCTGTGGGCCTTGAGCTTCGCCTCTTTGTCGTCGGGAATCCTTGGGTCGCCTGTCACGGCCAGGCAGAGGGCGATCCAGATCTGTAAGTGTGCCCATTTCAAGTCCTGCAGCGCCTTCTGGTTTCCCGCCGCCTTCGCCGCCTCCTTCGCCTCGTTGAACTGTCGTCCTCTTTCCTGCATGGCCAGCAAATTTGGGTGATCTGTCGGCACCAACGCCACCATCGTCAGGGCACCCTGAATCCTCCGCCCCTGCAAGTCGAGCCCCACCACCGCCTTGGCCGTGTGAAGCGCCAGTCGCTGGTACACCTGTGTATGGTATCGTCCTGCACGTCCTTTTTTCGATCCGGACTCCTCCGAAGCTCTCGCCGCCAGCTGCGCCTGCATCGCCCCCACTTCCGGGAGCTGTTTCGACGGCCGGGGGGGGGCGAGGTACAGTTCTCGAGCGGGCGCCAAAATTCGCGATCTTCTCGGGCATCAAAATGACTACGGTACGGAAGTGTGCATGAAGAACGTCCAGATCATCAGCCGCATGCTCCCCGAAAAGGCACTGGAGGTCTTCGGGGGGGTGTAGACGTGCAAGCCCAGCAAAAGCCCCGCCCCCACGACCTCTAGGACAGAAAGCTTGTTCCGTCGTCGAAGCAACGTGATTGCGTGCCGTTTCCAGCGAAACGAAGACCAGATAACACCATGGATACGTATTGCATACACTAGCTTGGCGATGCGGTTGACGATATTAGTGTGCTCGACGTTTACACCATATAGTGCTACATATGAGGACGTCGTGCATGGACATGCTGTGCCGTCGTCGTATACATGGCCTCACTGATAAGATCCATCGGGCCTCTAGCTCCAACGGGGCTCCTGGGAGGCGCTCTGTGTGTCTGAAGAAGCTGATGAGTTTGTCATGAGGCGGCTTGAACAACATGGAATCGTCGAACATAGCATACCAACCCCGCCTCCGAACTGTTTTTTTTTTACCTTCAGGAGCAATTTCCCCTAGATCCTCCAAGTCGTAGCAAAACCTCCTCAAACAACTGTTGCACCCCCGACGAGCAGGCTCGTGAGGGCAGCCAGGAAAACAACATTTCCCTCGGGGCTTCTCGCGAAGGACGACAACCACTGCAGTTTGCGGTACAAAAGCGTGCTCTCGAAAGTCGGGATCTGGAGCTCATGACGCACGTCCGCGTTTGGGGAGCGCGCGAGTCTCCTCCACCCCCTGGCGCGTGAACTTGTGACTCGCGCCCTGCAGGATCACTCTTAGATGGGCCTGTTCAAATTTGTCGAAGGTGTCCAAGTCTTTCTGGGTCCAACTCCGTGCTTCTCCCCCCCGATAGTAGTGTTCTCCGAACAGTACTAGTAGAGAGGAGTTTCTTGATTGTTCGGCATTTCGTGCTAGCCCATATACGCCCCAAAGAACTCCATCCAATCCGCGCTGCTAAAATACGCTGATCATTATCATGATAAATCCATCCGTCACTATGATGCCATCCTCCCAAATGCTTAACCCATAGTTTGGCTGTTCCCCGATATTGGGCTCCGTCGGATTGATGAAACAAATTCTGCATTGCTTTTGGGGATCCGGCCCCGCGACACCGAACAAGGATCTCTTTCTTATCTACGTTCTGGGCAAGCTCGGTACTGTTCTGTACAGATCTCATGAGACCATCGTCCCAAAGCTGAATATTGTGCCGCTTCGGGATCAGGACGGTCGCGGCCGAGCACTCCAATGCGGGTATTGTCATCTGCGAAAATCGTGAAAGAGAGATCGACCTGCTCGGCCGTCACGGGTCCTCTAACACGAAAAAGAGCGGCCTCCTTCTCGGAAGCTGTGGCGGTAATCCACTCCTGGATCCGCGGGTCGTACAAACATGTAAACCTGTCGGGTGCTGAACGGTCTCCCTGAAGGTCCACACATCCTAGACCGAGTAGTGCCCAGTCCCCGTCTTCGACGATGACGAGGCGGATGGGAGGAGGGAGGAGGGGGAGGAGGGTGGGGGCAGCGGGAAGGAAGGAACGCGGGGCGCTGTCTCTTCAAAACGACGAGGACCCAACACCACAGGATGGTTTGGAAAAACAGCAACTTCTCGGAAGGCGCGATGGCTTCTGAGAAGTCCTGCCGCCTTCTGAGAAGGCCTCCTCCTTTTCATTACCCCCCCCCTCGTTCGCCGCGGACATGCTATAGGAGCTCAACCACAAGAAACCTTCCACAAAAAGACCAACCCTGAGACCCCAGGACATCCATGGACTTCTGGTGTGGGAGCGTCACGTTGTCCACAATAAAACCGTCGAAACCAACGAAACCGCGGACACCGTGGAAGCAAGCAGGGTGTTCCTTGGCATGGGTTTCCGCTGTAGGCTCGCCATCGCTCGGTGCGCGTGTTTTTATTGTTTGTATTTTCTGTTCCAACGTTTCGACATTGGGCAGAACCTGCCCTGGACCTCTGCTAGTGCGACTGTTTGGAGCCGTGCGTTCATTGTGGGGGAAGCTCCACCTGCCTGAAACAGGCGTCCCAAAAAACAGCCAAGATCCACTCCGGGGGGGGAGGGGGGGGTGCGAGGGCCCGCGCCGATCGGCAAAACAATGAACAAAACAACGATCACTCGGACGTCTTTTCCCAGTGCATGTTTCGATTTCGCGCGTGCACTTTTTGATCGAAGGATGATCCTCGAAGCTCCTCGGTGGTCCTCGCCGACAAGCAGCGCACACGTCCGAGCGATACCAAGTAAGGGAACAAACAATGACATGTCGCATTCGCCTGGCGGAGGACCCAACAATATGCAGTTGTGGGCGACGCAGCTGTGGCTCCCATCTTCGGTGGAGCTCCGTATGGGGCAACGAACCGCGTGAGAGGTGTGCCCACATGGGCATGCGGTGGGCGGGGAGGACGCATGCGGACACGGCCACTGGGGACTTCGGTGGAGCTTCCTATGGGGCAACGAAGCGTGTGAGGGGTGTGCCGAAATGGGCATGCATGCGGACGCGGCCACTGGGGCCTCCGGTGGAGCTGCCTATGGGGTCACGCAACGTGTGAGGGGTGTGCCGACATGGGCATGCGGTGGGCGGGGAAGACGCATGCGGACGCGGCCACTGGGGCCTTCGGTAGAACTCCCTATTGGGCCACGAACCGTGTGAAGGGTGTGCCGAAATGGACATGCGGTGGGCGGGGAAGGCACATGCGGACGCGGCCACTGGGGCCTTCGGTGGAGCTGCCTATTGGGACCACGAGCAGTGTGAGGGGTGTGCCAAAATGGGCATGCGGTGGACGGGGAGGGCGCATGCGGACGCGGCCACTGGGGCCTTCGGTGGAGCTCCCTATTGAGGCCACGCACCGCGTGAGAGGTGTGCCGAAATGGGCATGCGGTGGGCGGGGAAAACGCATGCGGACGCGGCTACTGCGGCCTTCGGTGGAGCTCCATACGGGACCACGCAACGTGTGAGGGGTGTGCCGACATGGGCATGCGGCGGGTGGGGAGGACGCATGCGGACGCGGCCACTGGGGCCTTCGGTGGAGCTGCCTATGGGGCCACGAACCGTGTGAGGGGTGCGCTGAAAGGGGCATGCGGTGGGCGGGGAGGACGCATGTGGACGCGGCCACTGGGGCCTTCGGTGGAGCTCCGTACGGGGCCACCAAACGTGTGCCGAAATGGGCATTTGGTGGGCGGGGAGGACGCATGCGGACGCGGCCTCCGGTGGAGCTCCCTATTGGGGCCACGAAGCGTGTGAGGGGTGTGCCGAAATGGGCACGCGGTGGGCGTGGAGGGCGCCTGCGGACGCCGCCACTGGGGCCTCCGGTGGAACTCCCTATTGGGCCCACGAACTGTGTGAGGGGCGTGCCGACATGGGCATGCGGCGGGCGGGGAGGGCGCATGCGGACGCGGCTACTGGGGCCTCCGGTGGCGCTGCCTATGGGGCCACGAACCGTGCGAGTGGTGCGCCGGAATGGGCATGCGATGGGCGGGGAGGACGCATGCGGACGCAGCCACTGGGGCCCTCGGTGGAGCTCCCTATGGGGGCCACGAACCGTGTGAGGGGTGTGCCGAAATTGGCATGCGGTGGGCGGGGAAAGCACATGCGGATTCGGCCACTGGGGCCTTCGGTGGAGCTGCCTATAGGGCCACGAGCTGTGTGAGGCGTGTGCCGGAATGGGCATGCGGTGGGCGGGGAGGACGCATGCGGACGCGGCCACTGGAGCCTTCGGTGGAGCTCCGGGGGGGCCACGAACCGCGTGAGGGGTGTGCCGAAATGAGCATGCGGTGGGCGGGGAGGACGCATGCAGACACGGCTACTGGGGCCTTCGGTGGAGCTCCATACGGGGCCACGAACCGTGTGAAGGGGGGCGCCGACATGGGCATGCGGTGGGCGGGGAGGACGCATGCGGACGCGGCCACTGGGGCCTTCGGTGGAGCTGCCTATGGGGCAACCAAACGTGTGAGGGGTGTGCCGACATGGGCATGCGGTGGGCGGGGAGGGCGCGCACGGGCGCGAACACTGGGGCCTTCGGTGGAGCTCCCGATGGGGCAACGAAGCGCGTGAAGGGTGAACCGAGATGGGCATGCGGTGGGCGGGGAAGGCACATGCGGACGCGGCCACTGGGGCCTTCGGTGGAGCTGCCTATGGGGCCACAAACCGTGTGAAGGGTGTGCCGGAATGGGCATTCGGCGGGCGGGGAGGGCGCATGCGGACGCGCTTCGGTGGGGCTCCCCATTTGGGCCACGAGCCGTGTGAGGGGTGTGCCGACATGGCCATGCGGTGGGCGGGGAAGGCACATGCGGACGCGGCCACTGGGATCTCGGTGGAACTCCCTAGTGGGGCCACGAACCATGTGAAGGTTGTGCCAAAAAGGGCATGCGGTGGGCGGGGAGGCGGCATGCGAACGCGGCTACTGGGGCCTCCGGTGGAGCTCCGTACGGGGCCACGGGCCGCGTGAGTGGTGTGCCGAAGTGGGCATGCGGTGGGCGGGGAGGGCGCATGCGGACGCGGCCACTGGGGCCTTCGGGTGACCTCCGTACGGGGCCACGAACCGTGTGAGGGGTGTGCTGGAATGGGCATGCGGTTTGCGGGGGGGGGCGCGTGCGGGCGCCGCCACTGGGGGGCTTCGGTGGAGCTTCCTCTGGGGCAACGAATCGTGCGAAGGGTGTGCCGACATGGCCATGCGGCGGGCGGGGAGGGCGCATGCGGACGCGGCCAGTGGGGCCTTCGATGGGGCTGCCTATGGGGGCCACGAACCGCGTGACGGGCGCGCCGAAATGGGCATGCGGTGGGCGGGGAGGGCGCATGCGGACGCGGCCACTGGGGCCTTCGGTGGAGCTGCCTATGGGGGCCACGAACCGCGTGAAGGGGTGTGCCGAAATGGGCGTGCGGTGGGCGTGGAGGGCGCCTGCGG